CGGAAGCAGCAGTCAAGAGATCAGATGACGTATTACGTTAGGCAAATCTGCTAGACAGGAACTTTTTAAAATGTTGAAGAGCAAAGATGTCAGCTTGAGGACTAAAGTGCGCCTGACCCAAGCCATGGTAAAGTCAATAACCTCATATGGATGTGAAAGCTGGACAATGAATAAGGAAGATCGTAGAAGAATTGATGCTTTTGAATTATGGTGTTGGAGGAGAATACTAAAATTGCCATGGACTGCCAAAAGAACCAATAGATCTGTTTTGGAAGAAGTACAGCTACAGTGCTCCTAGAGGCCAAGATAGCCAAACTTCATCTCTCATACTTTGGACATATTGTCAGGAGGGAACAGTTGCTGGAGAAGGATATCATGCTTGGTAAAATGGAGGGTCAGAGAAAAAGAGGAAGACCCCCAATGATATGGATTGGCCAGGTGGCAGCATCGATGGACTCAACTGTGGCAACAGTAGTGAGGTTGGCCCAGGATCGGACATTGTTCTGTTCTGCTGTGCATAAGGTCGCTATAAGTCGGTGCCAATTCGGTGGCACCTAACAACAACAACAATCCATGGAGATGTGGTCTGCTCGCAATATGATGGACACATGGGAGGGACTCTTTTTCTCTCCTTTCCTCTGGGAACATGCTACTCTACAATGGTAAGATAATAGATTTCTTATATACACATACATACATGCGTATGTTTCACTAGCTTTGATTTAAGGCCCCTTCCCTGCTCTACCCTCTCTTTATCTCTTCAGTAAATAGAGGTTAGCAGCTATCAGAGCAGAAACACATCTGATTTTGCAAAACACTTTCTGAGGCTATTTTGTTTTCTTCACTAGATGCTTACCTCTCTTTGCAGGCAACAAAATTGTTGTTCGTGTTTCTGCAGTATCCAAATTCATCTCCATTTTTGTTCATCTTGTAGCAGATATCATGACTTCCTTTTGCTTCTGAGGTTCAAGGTGGGGTGATAAAAGTAATAGAATGAAAGCATGAATACCATGAATCGTGAAAGACTTTACTTCTCTGATGTGATTGAACTTTCAGTACCATGTGGTGGTAAAACAGAATGGAATAAAGAGCTATGTTATTGTTTGAGGAGGGCATTTTAATAAGGAGCATAACCAAGAAAAAGTAACAAATATATCTTAGCCTGCACACTAAACTAATCAATTAAGATTAGAGGTAAGATCAAGGTTATGAAACCCACATACAGAGAGATGCTATGCAATATCGTGGAAGAATACCACAAATAACCACATCTTCATGTCTGTCCCAGATTCTTGCAGGAAAATAGCAAAGAAATACTATTTTCTTTATCAGTCATACACTGTTATTGTCTCTCACCATCATCAAACAGTTCAGAGCACTGATCATCCCGGGTGGGACACTTCCCTAGGAAGCAGTAGCCTTCTTCATTCTTGCAAGGGAATCCATTTACTTGGAATTCATCCTTAGGACACTTGGAGGAGTGGCCATTACACATTTCAGAAAAATCACACTCATCTTTTGCTGGTCTGCAGATTGACCCTGCTACTTTCAACTATTGAGAAAAAGCAAAGAAACTGAAGTTAAGACACATTTAGGTAGCACATTCTCAATAGAGGGCAGGAGGTTGAGCTGCTTAATTAGTCCAGAAAAGAGTTTAAGGCTGTATCATAACCTCCTCCTCCATTCTACTGATGATCATTCTTGTTGTTGTTGTTAAGTGCCATCGAGTCGGTTCCAACCCATAGCGACCCTATACAGGGTTTCCGAGGGTGTAAATCTTTACGGGAGTAGAAAGCCTCATCTTTCTCCCGCAGAGCGGCTGGTAGTTTCGAACCGCTGACCTTAAGGTTCGCAGCCCAATTCATAACCACTACGCTACCAGAGCTCCTTGATGATCATTCTTAAATGTATGTAATTTTCAGTATGGCAAGGGAGGGAGTGTTTGTGAAATTTGGTATCAGACCAACTATGGACAAAGTTGAAATTCACAAACAATGGAGAAATGGACAAGTGTTCTTGTTCAGCTTATCTTTTTTTTTACACACCTTGCTCTAATATATCCTGCTCTGACACATGCACACTCATCCCACAAAACTGGGTATCTCCCTATATAACACGGCCTATCTGGTCCTAAGAAATCAGATCTTTGTAAATGAACTGGTGAAAATCAGAGAATTGCATGGACAGAGTCTCTGATTCTGGCATTTTATACACATCTAATTGTTTTGGATTCTAGAGAGGTTTAAAGATGAATGAGGCTTGCCTCCACAATCTAATGAGGTGAAAAAAAGTGTTGCTAGATCTTTGTACAAAGGCATTTGTATTTCTGCTCATCTTCCTTTGGAATATTTTACCAACTATTAGCTGCTATTACATTCCAATTCCAATATAATCCCTCTATCTTCAGGAATACTGATGGATGTTGATATATCAATTTTCTCCTGTCTAAAGTTATACAGATTGGGAATGATTCACAAATGGCCAAGGATGACACATCACCTTCTCCATTCACCAGAATCTACCACAACTCAGTGCTCAGATGTCAGAGCATTGCAGAAGAGGCACTGTTGGGTATTAGCAAGCCTAGTTCCATTCTGAGATCAGTCACGTAGGATCAAGTGGCCAGAGAGCTCTTTTGTCTTATGTGCACTTTATAAACAGAGAAAAGACCTTACCTGACAAGATTCACAGCATTCTCCTTCTGCACAAGTAAATCCTGGCTTCAACATACATTTGTCAGCATCACAGCAAGGGTTAGTGCATTCCTGGGCAATAACCAAAATTAAAATACCATGAATTAGTTTGCAGTTTGGTTCCTATTTGAACAGTTACTTCAGTCTGTGTCTGTTGTAATATTATTTATTGCTAAGACATCAATGAAAAGGCATAATCTTTGGTTATGATAAGTATGTAAAGACTACTGCTTAGAAATATTATTTGGAACTTTTGCTTTGTGTTTTTTTTTTTTTTTTTTCTTCATAGCTATTCAGGACTCCATGGCTAATGAATTCTCATGGGGAAAAATAGAGTCCAAAAATTTGTGACCTTCCATTCTTTTGAAGACTTTTATTCCCTGGGAAGGTCCTGTTGGTTTCCTATGTAAAACGTTTCCAGTGTAAAAAGGTTTTCTGGTAGGAAACATCTGAGGATATGGTTTTAAGTTTTGCTCAGACCCCCAGTATTTTGAGATGACCTTTCTTTTTTCAATATATCACTGAATAATTATTATAGAGGCTCTAAACCGTAGTGGTTATGAATTAGGCTGTGAACTTTAAGGTCAGCAGTTCGAAACTACCAGCTGTTCCATGGGAGAAAGATGAGGTTTTCTGCTCCTGTAAAGATTTATAGCCTCGGAAGCCCTGTACAGGGTCACCATGAGTCAATACCAACTCGATGGCACTTAACAACAACAACAACAAGTTTAGGCATAATAATCTTTATTATATCTGTTCTAATAGAATTAAAGCTACAAAGGTAGTGAGCTGAGTCTGCTCAGGTAAGATACTTTGTTAGAAAGAAAGTGTAGTACTATTTCAAAGAATAGGCAAAAGTTCCAATTTTCAAAGGTAAAACTTTTTTTTTTTTTTTTTTTTTGGTCAACTAATGTTTTTTATTGCTATAAAAATTTAAAGAACACATCATATGCCTATTCACCATTTTTGACATGTATAATTCAAACAGTCAAAGTCTGTATCTCCTACTTTCTGAACAAGTCATAGTCTTCATATGAAATCTTTAATTAATACATGGGCTCTGATCATGGAGGCTCACCCACCATCCTAGTAGATCTCCTTTGGATTGGGCAGTGTTCAGTGATGATACTAAACATGTGATCCTCAGATCCTCAGGTAGTAGCACCAGCAGAACTTTGGAACTTGATTGGTAGGAACCTAGAATCTCAGCCCCAGCCCCAGATTTACTGAATCAAAATCCATATTTTAACAATATTTCCAAGTGATTGATATGTACTTTACAGTTTGAGAAGTCATTGTCTAGGACATATACTATATAAAAAGTTCTTGAAAAGAATAGTCATTTTTTGTTTCAGATTAAGAATTAATTTAAAATTTGCCTCAAAGTCTTATTCTAAATGTTTCAGAGACTAAGACTGCAATAAATTGGTGTTGGTGGTGGTGGTGGTTATGTGCCATGGAGTCAGTTCTGACTCAGAGATCCTACGTTGGGTTTCCGAAGTTGTAACTCTTTGTAAGAGCAGAAAGACTCATCTTTATCCCATGGAGTATATTTGAACTGCTTACCCTGCTGTTACAAGCCCAACATATAACCCACTATGGTTCCAGGGTACTTAATAAGTAAGCAACAGGTTAAAAGTTTTCTGTTCTAATAAGAAAATGTTTTCTAATAATTTGAACTATCCTGCTGTGACTTAGGCTAGCCTCATAAAATCCTTGTTGTTGTTGTGTGCCGTGGAGTCGGTTCCGACTCATAGGGTTTCCGAGTCTATGTGGGAGCAGAAAGCCTCATCTTTCTCCCACGTAACAGCTGATAGTTTCGAACTGCTGACTGTGAGGTTCGCAGCCCAATTTGCAACCACTATGCTACCTGAGCTCCTTCATAAAATCCATAGTTAAACTCCAATGACTGACTGTGGGAGGTTTTGTAGAATACGTTTCTACTGGGCATGAGAGATTAGACAATGCTACCTATGGGCCCTTCTCGCAAGAAGAGCAAGTTAATATATAAACAAGGCAAAAGAGTTGCTGTTGATATCTCACATGATAATTATATGTGATTAATAACTTGGTAAAAAAAAAAAAAAAAAGAAAAGAAAAGGCTTACAATAAGACTACACCCATAGCTTGTTTCCAAATGAAAACAAATCATGCCATTTGTGAAGTTTTATAAGGAACACCATGATTGATTTATAGCTCCATCCTGCCTGGGTTTTAGATGAGTATAAAGTTTGTAGTTTAACGACAACATCATTTTCAAATACCTGAACAGAGCCACAATCACACTCTTCTCCTTCATCCAAATTCTTGTTTCCACAATATGGAAAATCATATAAGCTATCAGAAAATGCAATATTTGACATGCACGTTGGCTTATAATCCTTCAGATATCTCAAGTATTGGTTTTTGCTGCATTTACTAAATTTTAGCGCAGGAATGCTAAAGGTAAGATGAGGTAAAAAGGAAACAATTATGTTGATGCATAGTAGTAAAACAACTGTGAAACAATTTAGAAATAGCAATTATAGATGATAAACTCTAGAAGTCCATTGGCATCTCTTACACTTGTCTTTACTGTTACAGCAAACCAATAGCTGGGTTCATTTTTATAGAAAAAAGAAATGGACACACAGTCAACACCTTCTATTTTGCTGGCAATGCTCTGGCTACATATCCCTCCCAAAATCTTTTCCTAAAGCCCCAGTTTAAGACTGATTGTCTTTGCTACTCCCATATTGCCTGTTATTTGTTTCTATTGCAGTAATTTCTATACACGCTTATCATCCCTACAAGAGTTTAAGCTTTTAAAGGTATATATAGCCTGTACAACTTCTTCTTTTTTTCCTTTAAGTCATCACTGGTAGATAGTGCCTGGCACAAATGACTCCTCTAAAAATTTGGTTTGTTGAACCAAATTGTTTATTTTTTAAAAATCTTAAATATTCCAGGAATGTGATATACTTCTTTGAATCTGGTATTTTTACACAGTTTTTACATTATACTGACACAGTGGTTGAAAACATATTACATATAGTCCTGATTACATTAGATTGGAATGGTTGTAACCCCCACTGCCTGCAACATTACTAATTATATAGATATTGATGTAAAACCTAGTAACTCAGTGCTTACTTTATCCTAGCCATTGAGTTGGGTGTTTTTGCTACTTTAACTCATGTAATTGTTATATGGAAACAATGATCATCATTAACAGACATTTTTCTTATGATGTACAATGGATTATGGCTTTTACTGTGAAGATGTGTAAATTTAGGGATGAATCATAAAATGCTTACATATAATATGGGGATTCTGGATATTCTTTCATTCTATAAGTACTTATGGAGTAGCTAACATGTGCCTAGAAAACAGTGATAATTCTGTGACTCTCTCCTTCCATGGGGTAGACCTTCCATGGGGTAGACCCTGGGTCCATTTCATGCATGGTCGTTTCCCATCTGTTAGCGCCAGTTTATGTATTTTTGGATCCTTAGTGGTGCAATCTTTAAGTGCTCAATTGCTAACTGAAAAGGCAGTGGTTTGATTCCACCAGTGATTCTAGAGGAGAAAGATGAGCCAGTTTGCTTCCATAAAGATCACAGCCTTAGAAAACCTACCTTGTCCTATAGGGCCATTATCAGTCAGAACTGATTGGACAGCAAATGGTTTGTGTGTGCTAAGATGCTGAATAGGTTTCAGTGGACCCTTCACAGTAAGATGTACTAGGAGGAAGGCCTGGTATCTGAAAATCAGTCAATGTAATTCCAGTGGTCATATCTCCCAATGAGCATGAGGCTGGTGCAGGACTAGGCAGTGGTTTGCTCTATTGTGATTGAGGTCACTATGAGTCAGGGGCCTATACAATCAGTTAACAACAGCATTTTCCTGAGACTTCTAGACAGTAGTAATATAAACAGATACAAATTTAAGACTTCATTAGTCAAGAGAACTAAAATATATAAAATATGTTAGGCTGTGACAAGTGCTTAGGAGAAATCAAAAACCAAAGGGCCATGGAAAATGTCAAAGATCTGTGTGTGAGGACAATATTGAAATGTTGGATCAAGTGGTCAAAAAGGCCTTGAAGAGAGACATTTTAGTTAAAATTTGAAGAGGAAAGAAATTATAGGTTATAGTAACAATGGCCAAACAAGGCATGGGGAATTTAATTCTTCCTTAAATGCCTTGGTATGTTGTTGTTGTTGTTAAGTGCCATTGAGTTGGTTCTGACTCATAGCACCCTGTATAGGATTTCTGAGAAGCAGCTGGTGTGTTTGAACTGCCGAACTTGTGGTTTACAGTCCAGGGCTGATCATCCTACAGTGCCACACCAGGAGTGCTCTAAGATCAGCAGTAGACTGTGAACCACAAAATTGGTAGTTCAAACTCACCAGCTGCTCCTTGGAAACTATATACAGGGTTGCTATGAGTTGGAATTGACTAGATAGCATTTAACAATAACAACTCTAGATGGAGTTTTAGAATTCCTTTTGCCATGTCATTAGAGAAAGACACTGATGAGATTCAATCCCCAAAAGGAAACTTCTTTTCTTGCCATGCCTGGTTTAGTTATGACTCTTTCAGGGTGTATATATATATATATGTGTGTGTGTGTGTGTGTGTGTGTGTGTGTGTGTGTGTTTTAATCCACTGAATATATTCCAATAGGCATTATATGAAAAGCCACTTCCAAAATATTTGAAGATATTTTCTATATCGTTTGACCCTTACCTTCCACTGCTATCCATTACACATCTTCCAAAGTTACAGGTGCATGGGAATTCATCATGCTGCATCCCAAGGCTATGCCCCAACTGATGGGCCATTCTGTTTGCAACTATATTTATGTCAGGTAAGAGATCCTGATGAAAAAAAAAAAAAAATGAGTGCATTAGAAGTTTCTAAAAGATAGCACACTGTGGTACATAGTAAACTGAACAAATGATTAAGTGATATGGTTTCTTGTACCTAGCTAAAGGAAAGCATGTAGTTACTTCCCTTATTTATGCCTCAGTTTCCTTAATTATATAATAAGGTTGGAACAATAACCTTTTAAGTGACTTTAGTACAAACATTTTGAAATTTTACTTTATGGTGCAATAATAGCAATTGTATTTCTATAGACTCCTTATAAATAATTAAAAAAATATTAACTCATACTATCTAATGAAAGTTCAGGGACTCCCTATGATAAGCACTGAACTGCGTGGTTTGAGCCTGCCAGTGGCTCTGCCAAAAAAAAGATGAGGCTTTCTGCTCCATTGAAGAGGTCAAGCCTCAGAAACCCTGTAACAGGGCCTCTATGAGTAGGAACAGTCCTGATGTGGTGCTGTGGGTTAATGCACAGATTGACAGTTCAAGCTCACCAGCTGATCATTAGAAATCCTGTACAGGTTTGCTATGAGTCAGAATCTACTTGACTGAACTTAACAGCAACAAGAACATTGAATAGGAACAGATTCAATGGCACTGGACTACAATAACTATCTAATAAAATTAAATAAATATTATCGGTTGTCTATTCTGTGTGTGGGTTCTTGGTGTGGCACTGTACATTAAGCACTGGACTGCAAGCTATGAATTTGGTGGTTCGAACCCATCAGTTGCTCGTTGGCAATCCTATACAGGATCACTATGAGTCAAAACTGACTTGAAGGCACTTAATAGTAACAACTCTGTCTGTACCTAATATTCAAAAGGGATTCACATAGCTGTATTTCCTGATACCAATTTATAGTCTCACATTGTACAAAAAGGAAATAATGGGAAGTAGTTTTCATTAAGAAGAAACCTGAAATTCAGAAAGTTAAAATCCAGTATAGAGTTGATTGTTACCTCAACCTGTATGTCTGTGAACCTACTTTGTGGTTCAAACTGACCTTGAGGTTAAGTGTTTATCATACAATGTCACACCAAGATTACAGTTATTTTAATCAGTACTAGATTTTAATTCCCAGACAGAGGAACTAAAAGCAATACATCCAAATCTTGATTTATTCAAGAACATTATAGATACAGCTAGTTGGGCAGCATTTGCTAGAAGCTTAGTGACTTGGGAAAAGATCAGATAAACAAGTAGTGTTGCCAATTTGTAGGTCTAATGGTTTCTGAAAATGAACTGCAAGGGTGTCTTGATGTGATATATTAAGTTGTTTATTTATTTATTTTCTATCAGGAAAACAATAAGTATCCTCATTTGCTAAATCAACCATCAAGAGTTGTGTACATCATATGTCCGTATAAATAATAATATTAAATGTACAAAAAGAGCACTCTAAATCTTTATATGTTAATCTGCATGCAATGTTTTTTCTAAACTGTCAACCATAATGGTTTACCTTCATTACTCAACTGTAGTTTTTATATGACCTTTTGATTCCTATTTGATAAAGAAATATGGTAGTTCCTTTATAACATATCTTGGTAGAAATATGTAGCATAGAGCTTACATGGCCCATTTTAATCAAGCGTAGGACATTTTAGAAATTTAATTCAAACTCTTGTGAGGTAATAAAGAATAAATAAAATACAGCCCACCTTAACAACACTGCAAGAATAGTAGGGCAGACACATCCTACTTGGATAAGATGTTCCTTGTGCATGTGTGTAGAGCCACTTTCCACTATAAAAAAGACACAAATAAACTCTTCAATTTAAGTTAGTAGCTTCATTAACATAAAGATTACATTGCAGTGAACCACCACAACGCTAATGAGTTTTCATTGGGTAATGGTGAAAGTATCTTCTTATGTCTGAAATTCTGGAACTGACAATGTCCTTCATTGACAGTTAGCTGGTTTTAATCCTGTAGTATAGCATAGACATTGAAAGACCTAATGTGATCTTAGATTGAAACTATAAAAATAAATTTTGTAAAATAAATAATATTGGAGTCCATTTTACTTATCTAGTAAAGATTCTAATCTACTTTACACTTACCTTTGAATGAACTTTTTAAAAGGTAAAGGTTGAGAGAGAAAAGGCAATATAGTGAATGTACTCAACACCAATCTTCTATTCAACAGTTTGTCCTAAAGTCAAATTAAACTCATGACAACCTTGTATATTACAGAGTAGAACTGCCCTATAAGATTTCCTTGACAGGAATCATTATAGAAGCAGATTATCAGGTCTTTCTTCTGCAGAGCTCCTGGGTGGGCTGGTACCACCAATATTTAGGTTAGTAACAATTGAAAATTCATTATACTACCTATGTTCCTCTAACATTTCAAATCACCTAAGTAAATAAATACATAAATCAATGAGTGTGTGCCCAAAGTGAATGGAGACAATGCCATCATTAATTAAGAGCAGTTGAAATGTTTTTAAAAAACATTTAATCAACCCTAGACCTTCATAGAATGTTCGATAGCTGTAACCAAATTTAAAAAACTGTCAAATGAAAACAAGACTGGTTTTTGGAAGACCTAAAAAAAAAAAAAAGTTATAGATTCATGTATTATATAGCCTAAATTGGATTTGCTTTCAATAAAAACAATCATGGTTGGGTTTTCAGTATTTGAAGGCTTGAGGACCACAATTATTATAGAGAAGATTTAAATACAAGAAAGGCAGTCATGCTAGGTGAACTCTAAGCCTTTAGCTCATTTGATCAAAATTATATGCTCTGTTTTGTTCTTTAATTTTGAAATGATCCTGCCCCTGCATTTTTAAGTTTCAGACTTGACTCTGCATTTTAGAGAAACTTAGAATGCTGGTATTTTTAGATTTTGAAGACCTTGGGAGATCATCTATGAAGGTGAAACATAGCAGAAGTATAATCAGGAGCCTAATTTTCTCATGGACATTTCAAACCAAGTGTAACACCCTGATAATGCCATAATGCTGTTTTACCACTTCCTAAATCTATGTGAATATAAAAAGAAAAGCACATAAGAAACCCAACACAAGACTCAATTTTACCCAGATGGCATTTTAGTAGTATTGCCCCTGCCATCCTAATGTCAGACATTCTATTGGTGTAAAAAGTAACTGTTCAGAATGAGAGATTATTTATGAAAGTATACCACCATTTGTTCATCAGTTTGTCATACTCTGGTTGTTTGTGTGTTATACTGTGAATCTGGAAGCTATTCCACAGGTATTTTAAATAGCAGAAGGGTTCCCACAGTGGACAGGTTTCAGCTGAGCTTACAGACAAAGACAGACAAAGAGAGACAGACTACTTATGAATATTAAGTCACTGGAAATCTTATGAATTGAAGTGGAACATGGTTAGCACCAGATTATTGACTATTGAAACATGATGAAGAGAACCAGAATATTGTCAGATATGGTGCCGGAAAAGGAGCCCCTCAGGTTGGAAGGCACACAAAATGTGACCAGGGAAGAGCTGCCTCCTCAAAGTAGAGTTGACTGTGATGAGGTAAATAGAGTAAAATCCACAAGACCTTCATTTGTTGATGGGGCACAACTCAAAATGAAAAGAAACAGCTGTAAACATCCATTAATAATCAGAACATGGAATGTACAAAGTACAAATCTAGGAAAATTAGAAATTATCAAAAATGAAATGGAATGCATAAGTATAGATAACCTAGGCATTAGTTAGCTGAATTGGCCTGATATTGGTCACTTTGAATCTGACAATCACATGATTTACTATTATAGGAGTGATAAATTGAAGAGGAAAAGTGTCGCATCCATCATCAAAAAGAACATATCTACATCAGTCATGAGGTACAATGCTGTCTGTGATAGAATAATATCCCTACAAGAAAGACCAGTTAATACCACAATTACTCAAAAATTTGCACAAACCACTAAAGCCATTGATGATGAAATTGAAGAAATCTACCAACTTCCTCAGTCTGAAAGAATTCAAAGATGCAATCAAGTTGTATTGATAACTACTGGCAATTAGAATGCAATGTTGGAAACAAAGAGAATGATCATTAGTTGGAAAATATGACCTAGGTGATGGAAACAATGCTGGAGACAGCATGATAGATTTTTGCAAGATCAATGACTTGTTTATTGCAGATACTTTTATTTTAAACAACATAAAAGACAACTATACACAAGGACCACACCATATAGAATACATAGAAATCGAATTGATTACATTTGTGGAAAGATACTACAGAAAAACTCCATGTCATCAGTCAAAACAATGCCAGGGGCACAAAGTGGGATAGATCATCAATTGTTCATATGCAAATTAAGGCTGAAGCTGGAGAAATTTAAAACAAGTCCATAAGAGCCAAGATATGACCTTGAATATATCCCACCTGAATTTAGAGATCATCTGAAGAACAGATTTGAGGCATTAGACACTAAAGACCGAAGACCAGATGAGTTGTGGGATGACATCAAGAACATCATACAGGAATAAGGCAAAAGGTCATTAAGAAGATAAAAAAGAAGGAAAACACCAAAATATATGTCAGAAGAGACTCTGAAACTTACTCTGCAGCATAGAGATGCAAAAGCAAATGGAAAAGTGAGGTGGTATAAGAGCTGAGCAAAAAATTTCAAAGTTCAGCCTGAGAAGTCAAAGTCAAATATTATAATGAAATGTGCAAAATCCTGAAGTTAGGAAATGAAAATTGAAGACCATGCTCAGCATTTCTCAAGTTGAGGGAACTGAAGAAAAAAGTCAAACCATGATGCACAGTATTGAAGGATTCTATAGACAAAACATTGAATGATGAAGAAAGCATCAAAAAAAGGATTAAACAAAGGTCACTGTACCAAAAAGAAATGGCCAATGTTCAACCATTTCAAGAGCGATCATATGATCATGAGCCAATGATCCTGAAGAAAGACATCCAAGGAGAATTGAAGGAATTGGCAAAGAACAAGGCACCAAGATTAGATGAAATGCAAATTGAATTCTTTCAACAAAGTGAGGTGGCACTGGAGGCACTCACTCATCTATTCTAAGAAATTTGGAAGACAACTAACTGGTCCACTGACTGGAAGAGATACATATTTGTGTCCATTCCAAAGGGAGATGACCCAATGAAATGAGGAAATTGTCTGACAATATCATTGACATCCCATGTGAGTAAAGTTTTCCTAAAAATAACACAAAAATGGCTGCAATCATACATTGACAGAGCACTTCCAGAGCTTCAAGCTAGATTCAGGAGAGGACAAGGAACCAGGGATAGCATTACTGATGTCAGATGGATCTTGGCTGAAAGCAGAGAATACCAAAAAGATGTATACCTGTGTTTATTGACTACACAAAGGCTTTCTATTGTGTGGATCATGACAAGCTATAGACAACATTGCAAAGTATTCTAGAATACTCAATTGTGCTCATGAGGAACGAGTACATAGACCAAGAACAGAATTGTTCTGTTTGAACAAAACAAGGGGAAACTGAATGGTTTAAAATTAAGAAAGGTGTGCAACAGGGTTGTGATATCTCATCACATTTATTCAATATGTATGCTGATAATATAATCTGAGAAGCTGAATTATATGAAGAAAAATGTGGCATGAGGATTGGAGGAAGTCTTGTTCACAACCTGCGGTATGCAGTCTTGCTTGCTGAAAACAAAGAGGACTTAAAATATTACTGATGAAGATCAAAGACCGCTGCCTTCAGTATAGGTTGCATCTCAATGTAAAGAAAACAAAAATCCTCACCTCTGGACCAATAAGCAATATCCATATAAACAGAGAAAGATTGATGTTATCAAAGACCTCATTTTTCTTGGAGCAACTATCAACACTCTTGGAAGCAGCAGTCAGTATATTAAGTGACGTATTACATTAGACAGATCTGCTGCACAAGACCTCTTTAAAGTGTTGAAGAACAGTGGTGTCAGTTTGAGGACTAAGGTGTGCCTGTCCCAAACCATAGTATTTTCAATAACCTCATATTCATGTGAAAGTTGGACAGTGAATAAAGAAGACCATAGAATAATTGATGAATTTGATTTATGGTTTTGGAGGAGAATATTAAAAGTGCCATGGACTACAAAAGAAAAACAAACACAAAAAAATCTGTGTTGGAATTACAGCCAGAGTGTTCTTGGAAGCCAAGTGGATGGATTTCATCTCTTATACTTTGGACATATTTTCAGATGGGGCCAGACACTGAAGAAGGACAACATGTTTGGTAAGGTGGAAGGTTGTAGAAAAAGAGGAAGATCCCCTAAGAGATGGATTGGCACAGTGGCAGCAGCAATGAACTCAGGCATAGCAACCATTGTGACGTTGGTGCAGGGCCGGGCAGTGTTTTGTTCTGTTGTGCATGGGATTGCTATGAGTCAGTTCCAGCTGAAGGGGACCTAACATTTATTTACACAAGGAGTCGGTTAGGAGGCTATCTTTGCTCATATAAATGACTTATTACTTACTATTCCTCACTCATGATATTTGGCCATGGTAATGCATGGCTATCTAAGCCCAAGCCAGCCCCATCTTCTTCACTGGAGATATGTGCTATGACCTATTCCATATACACAATTTAGGAATGATTATTACCTTGGAATCTAGTTCAGTCCCATCATACTATCAAAGTGCTAGGTCTGACTTTCAGGTGTATTCCTTGGAGTCTTCACTAGTTTTGAGTTCAGACTGAAAACTAATATCTAGGCATAATATTTTGCAAGATATTTTTGCAGCCCTTAGGGGAAAATTTGTTTATGTGTGTATATGTGTTTGCTTGGTAGATGAAGTGGACACCATCCTAACAAAGTAGCTTTAAGTGTGTCAAAAAACGTTAAAGACTTCATTGTTGTAAAGAAGGTTTTCCACAATTAAACATTCTTTGAGATAACATAGTCATGTCTCAATGTAAGGCTATAATCAGATGACCAATACAATTGTTTATCATTTGGTAGTGGACTAAGAAGGGGGTAGGTGTTTTGAATAATGAAAATGATTAAAATAACTTCTTTCTTTAGTAGTTCAGAATCTGTTAGTCCAGACAAATTGAAAACTGTCACTTGAAAAGATGAAAGCTGTGGTAGAATTTAATATATCAGATTAGTTATCTGTCATCTTAGATAGAAGAGAGCATGCTCTTGCACCACTGGTCACTGGATAGGACACTTTTTAAAATAGTCTTTGTCCAGAGAAGGAGGTGTTTTTTTGAAAACATTTGATTTGTTTGGAATATTGCAAAGGGAGCCATAGTGCACAAGGACCTGGAATGGCATTGGAGGGTGAGGGAGTTAACACTGGATGTAAGTAAGTAAGGTAAATGAATTCTATGATTATTTAACTTACCTAATAATATTTTCTACTGTGATCAGGAATATGAATATATCCAATTTTTCCTTACAAGTGCTAATCAATGTTAGAAAGAGTATTAAATAGTGTATTTGAGATGTTGTTTATTAATTGTTGTTGTTGTTATCAGGTGCCATCGAGTCGGAACCGACTCATAGCAACCCAATGCACAGCAGAACGAAACAATGTCCGATCCTGGGCCAACCCCACTACTGCCGCTACACTTGACACCATCAATGATGTCACCTGGCTGGGCCATCTCGTTGGGGGGTCTTCCTCTTTTTCTCTGACCCTCCACCTTACCCAGCATGGCATCCTTCTCCAGCGACTGTTCTCTCTGGACAATGTGTCCAAAGTATGAGAGGCAAAGCCTAGCCACCTTGGCTTCCAAGGAGCACTCTGGTTGCACTTTTTCCAAAACAGATCTATTGGTTCTTTTGGCAGTCCATGGCACTTTCAGTATTCTCCTCCAACACCACAACTCAAAGGCATCAATTTTTCTATGATCTTCTTTATTCACTGTCCAGCTTTTGCATCCATTTAAGGTTGTTGAAAATACCATGGCTTGGGTCAGGCGCACCTTAGTCCTCAGGCTGACATCTCTGCTCTTCAATACTTTAAAAGTTTATAAATAGATTTAACAAATTGTCCCAGTCTCCTAATTAAGAGCCAATTGCTTTAAAAAAATATTTGTGTGAACTTATTTTGTTTTATTTTTTTATAGTTCATTTAAGTAGTGCAGGAAAACAGACACATACCTGAGCAACACAGCGTGATCAAATGTCTTTCCTTTTTTAAGAATTGTTTCTTGCCAAGAAGAGAAACTTAATAAAGTAGTTTCTATGTTTGAGTCTACTTTTATTTGATCTCCATTTGTCCACACTTCAAACCCAACCAATGTCACATGAATGTTCAAAGTTTTATAAATCTGTTTAAGGAAGGATAATTTTTCACAAAGTCAATCAATTAGAACAAGTTTATCTATATTCCATTACATTAAAAAGTGTAACTTTAACTTATGAGATAGACAAAAAGTGCAGGCCTCATTTTACAAAAGTTGTGTTGACACAGAATGCAGGGTAAATCATCTAGAATACTGAATGAGTTGCTATGGATCTTGAACAACAGGCAGTTCTAAAATCAAACATGGAGAACAAAGAAACTTGACTGACAAAGTCTGATTCCCCTTGAACCATTATAAGGCACTAGGTTCAGGATAGGTCTATAAGAGAATTTATTAAGGATTTATGTATAATGGTAACATGAATTTACTAACAGGATCACACAGTAGAATGAATATTCTTCATTAATTTTTCTATTTGGGTCATAAATTGTATGTGATAAATTGGAAAGGATTTCAGAAATTTAGTTTAACTATCATGGTTGTTCTCTGTGTTTGATTTTTACTGCTACCTTGTCTAAGAAACCTCATTGGAATTGTTTAATAGAGGCAAAAATAGCTGTAGCCCATATATCCTTTCACTCTTATTCCCATCTGCTTCTGTAAAAACATAGTTTTTAGATACATGTACTTTGATACCAGGACAAAAGAAGACAGGATTTAATCAAATATTAGGACACTTTCTAGACTAAGGAATATTGTCTTATATTGATTTTATATTCCATACAAGCCAGTACAAACTAGGTTGAACGAAAAGAATGAATGATAAACTATGAATATCTGATTTAAGAACATGTTAATAGAGAATATAACTGGTTGTTAATACATCTACTGCTCATGTCATACAACAACCCTGTGTTAATTTCTTCTCTTAAACTATAGAATATTTCTTTTATCAACATGGTAATCCAGTAAGGTGTCCATCCTCTTAGTCTTGATTTTATCATCTGATAAACTGATGTATCGTGTCCTCCTGAACAAAGTGTGCTTTAATCAGGTTTCATGTACCTCTCTATTAATGGATGGCCTTAACACCCATAAAGGTGGATGAAATTACAAATGGAGACAATAATTTTCATCCTATGATTGCATTCTCTTCTAGTCAGAATACATGCCATAAAATTGAAAGTTATGTTGTATCTCTGCATGCTTGAGTGGTGTCGGACATATGTATTTGGAAGGGTATACTAGGTGAAATTGCTTTTCATAGAGGGAAAAAGCTTTAGGATTTCTGAGGTAGAAGAAATCACAAAATAATGGACATTAAGACAAGAGATGATCCAGTGAAATGTAAATATGGGCTTTGTGGAGGATAAAAGGTTAAGTAAGAAGCAATGTAATGTGAAGGCCCAGATTGTTTATGATGTAGTATATTATGTTGCCTCCCAAATGTCTTTAAATTATTTATGATATAGTGTCCAATGTTACTTCCCAAATGAAAGGGGAACATTGAGATAAAGTTCATTAGTATATAGTAATTCTATATTCAAGCTTATTTTGGAAATAAGAAATGGAGCGGAAGACATTGATGCTCATTTTTTTTTTTTTTTTTTTGGTTAATAACAGAGTAGTGATAAGCAATTGCTAGGCATAAGAAAATTGTAGAAATCAGAGATGACTATAAGAACTGAACACTCTACTCCTTACTGTTTTTAGTAATTAGAAAAAAAAAATGAGAAAGATTTATTGCACAAAAAAATTTTCATTGCACAAATGTAGACAATGTGGAGGAGTTCTTAACCTGCCTAAGATATACAAAGCTGGGAGTGGCCCTTCTACCCAGAAGGCATGAAAAAAGCCAGAGAATCTAAAAAAAAAAAACTTATTTTTCTGGAAATCATCAAACAGCTGAAGTCACAGTGTAACCAAAAAGGATGAAAGTTGAGGAAGGCTAGCTTCCTTCAATGAGAACCAGTATTAGAGCACTGGTTTAGCTGTGGAAGAACATGGGGAATTGATGAGCCACACATAAGAAGATAGGGAGAATGCACCAAACATTTTAAAGGAATTTTAAAAGGCTAAGTGTGGCCTAAAGAGCTCTGGTTGTGTAGTGGTTATGAGTTGGACTGCTAACCTTAAGGTCAGCAGTTTGAAACTACTAGCAATTCTGTGGGAGAAAGATGAGGCTTTCTGCTCCTATAAAGATTTACATCCTTGGAAACCATATACAGGGTCAGCATAATGAGTTGGAACCTATTCCATGGTGCATAACCAACCAACCAACCAACCAACCAAAGTGTGGGCTACAATGAGAGTATAGAGCTATATTGACATAAGTCATTTCAGCCCATGCACAGACTCCTCATGGACCTACTTTAGATGATCACAAGAATAAAAAAGGGATCAATAGGAGACTAAGGACACCCTCCTTGGTGGTGCAGGGATGAACGGTAGGATGAAGTGTCATGGAAAAATCACAAATCCTTCCTAAATCCTTCCTGCTGGGCAACAAAAACCTTAAGCAACTAGAGGGAAACAGTAAACTTACTCTTAGGACTCAAGAGAAGACAACTTGGGAAAAGGAGAAAACCCTTCTACCCTGGGGACGGGCAGGAAATTATCCCGTTGTTGTTGTTTTTAGGTGCCTCTGAGTCTGTTCCAACTCATAGCAACCCTTTGCACAACAGAATAAAACACTGCCCAGTCCTGCTCCATCCTCACAATTGTGCTATGCTTAATCCCATTGCTACTTCCATGGTGTCAATTTATCTCTTTGCAGGTCTTCCTCTTTTTCACTGACCCTCCACTTTACCAAATATAATGTTTTTCTCCAGGAATTGGTCCTCCTGATAAAATGTCTGAAGTATGAGAATCAAAGTCTAAGGAATGTTCTGGGTGTACTTCTTCCAAAACAGATTTGCTTTTCTGGAAGTCCTCACCCAAGTCATGGTACTTTCACTTCCCTACCACGTGTGTGAAAGTTGGACAGTGAATAAGGAAGACCATTGAAGAATTGATGCAGTTGAGTTATGGTTTTGGGGGAGTATATTGAAAAGTGCCATGGACTGCCAAAAGAACAAATAGATCTATGTTGGAAGAAGTACAGCCAGAGTGCTCCTTGGAGGCCAGGATGGCCAGACTTCATCTTTCATACTTCAGACATGTTGTCAGGAGGGACCAGTCATTGTAGAATGATATCATGTTTGGTAAAGGGAGGGTCAGAGAAAAAAAGGAAGAATCCCGGTGAGATGGACTGGCACAGTGGCAGAAGCGATAGGCTGAGGCATAGCAACGATTGTGAGCTTGGAGCAGGACCGAGCTGTGTTTTGTTCAGTTGTGCAGAAGGTCTCTATGAGTCAGAAGCAACTTGATGGCACCTAACAACAACAACATGGCACTTTCAATATTCTTCTCCAACAGTTTAACTCAAATGTGTAAATTCTTCTAAAGTCTGCTTTATTCATTGCCCAAATTTCACATGCATGGGAATTGAAAATATCATGGCTTGGGTCAGGCACACTTCAGTGCTCTTACTGATGTTTTTGCTCTTGACCATTTTAAAGTGGTCTTTTGCAGTAGATTTGCCTAGTGCAATACATTGTTTGATTTCTTGATTGCTACTTTCATGAGTGTTGATTGTGGATCCAAGCAAGATGAAGCCTTTGACAACTACAATCTTTTCGCCATTTATCATGATGTTATTTATTGGTCCAGTTTTGAGGATTTTTGTTTATATATTGCAATCTGTAGCCTTTGATATAATCAGTGGGTATGTAAATCCTCTTCTCTCAGCAAGCAAGCTTGTATCATCTGCATATCACAGGTTGTTATTTAGGCTTCCTTCAATCCTGATGCCACATTCTTCTTCATATAATCCAGCTTCTCAGATCGTTTGTCAGCATACAGATTGAATAAATACGGTGAAAGAATATATCCCTGGTGCACACCTTTCCAGATTTTAAACCATTCCGTATCACCTTGTTCTGTTTGAACAATTGCTTCATGATCAATGCCCAGGTTCCTCATGATCACAATCAAGGGCTCTGAAATACCAATTCTTCACAATGTTATCCATAGCTTATCATGATTCACACAATCAAATGCCTTTGCATAGTCAATAAAAAAAAAATAAAAAACTTTCTGGTATTAGTTAATTTCAGCCAAGATCCATGTGATGTCAGCAATGATATCTCCATTCCAAATCTTCTGAATTCAGCTTTTCTGGCAATGCCTTGTCAACTTACTGTTGCAATCATTTTTTAATTATCTTCTGCAATATTTTACTTACATGTGATATGAATGATAATGTTCGATGACTTCTGCATTCTTTTGAGTCTTATCTCTTTGGAATGGAAACAAATATGGATCTCTTCCAACTGGGTGGCCAGTTAGCTGTCTTCAAAATTTTTTTGCATGAGTGAATATCTGCAGTGTTTCATCAGTTGTTGAAAGATTTCAATTTGTTCTATAAATTCCTGGAACCTATATTTTTGCCAATACTTTCAGTGCAGTTTCAATACCTTTAGTACCATCAGTTTTTGTGATCATGTGTTACCAATCAAAATGGTTGAACAATGACCATATTTTTTTGATACAGTGAATCTGTGTATTTTTTCCATCTTCTTTTGATACTTTCTGCATCATTCAATATTTTGCCCATGGAATCCATCAATATTGCAAATTGAGACTTGAAATTTTTTCTTTAGTTCTTTCATCTTGAGAAATGCTGAGCATGTTCTTTTCACTTTTGGGTTTCTAAATCCAGGTCTTTGAATATTTCATTATAACACCCTTCCCCCGAGGGGTGCAGCAGCTCTGTGTTACTCATTCAGTGTGTGGCAAAACATTGTGTGCCATGATGTTGGAACTTCCCTGGAGGTGTGCACTCACATGGATATGTGCAGACCTGACAGAGAAGATGTGACAAAAAAAGAGCAGAGCCCACAAAAAAAGACACTTGCACCTCTTTCTACAGATTGCTGGGTAGTTTCTGCACTGGGAACACTCATTCCTGTTTGCATTCACTCTTTTCCACCCACAAAGGCTGCAGCACATAGACCATCCTGGTTCAGAAGTCACCTTTTTTCTTACTCTTATTCCAATTATTCCTCTTTTAAGCACTCAAACCACCAACTTATCACTTGATCTCAAGTTCAGAGTTCTGGGACAGTCCTTCCAGTTGTTTTTCTGGGTTTTTCATGCTTTCACTGACTGGAGTCTGTACAGCCTCTCTGCCAAGTCTACCATCAAACCCTGCCCCTCTTTTCCATATGCTTTTGCACCTCTATGCTGGAAAGCATGTTTCAGAAAGTCTTCTGACATCAGTTTATTTATCTGTTATTTTTTTCCTATCTTTTTAGTGACCTTTTGCTTTCTTCCTGGATGATGCTCTTTATGCCATTCCACAGCTCTTCTGGTTTTCATTAGTGTCTAATGCATCAACAGATCAAATGTCCTTCAACTGCTAAATGGATAACCACTGACCTAGAGGCCATTTCTTACAGAATCTTCTTCTGGATGCTTCTTTCTCCTAGTTATAGAGCTGGGGTGTCTTCGGAGTAGTATGAGAAAGATGTACACAATTCACACTATTGTTTTTAAAGATGTTATTATTCTGCATTAGATAGATTAATCTATATATTGTGTTTTACTGAACTATTTATCTTGAATTCTTTGCAAAGGCATAGGTAAATAAGTGTAGCTTGGAAATTATTTTGTTAAGGAAGGGTATAGAAAAGTAGCCAAAAGTAATAACACTTGGTTTATACATAACTGGTGTTAGTTTTGTGATTAGAGACAAGTATTTTTAAACTTTAAAAAATATCACCGGTATTTATTTAGAAAACCATAAATCTTCAAACTCTGGTTCATTTGTGGATATGGATATTTCAAGAGATTATTGCTAGTTAGTCTCTGGTAAATGTTTGTTGTTTGAGCTGCCTCAGTATTAGGGTTACCACAAAAATTCATCAGAGATTTAGCTTAAAATTTTCATTCCATTTGTATTTTTAGCATGTCTCAAACTGTGTGAAAACTTACCATATTGACAAAATTGACCATTCCCAGAATTCGATTCCTTAGTAGATCATGAGGATGAATATTCCTGTGGTACTGGAGATATAAGCATCAGATGAAAATTCATTAATATTAGGAATCAAATAAAAATTCAAAGAATGAATCCATTATGAAATATTTAAAAAGAAAAGAGTCATTGGCATATTGAAGAAAAATGCTCTTGTTAACATAAAATATGGAAAATTTATTCAGAGATATATTTTTTATTAAAAAATGAAACATAACAGTTTCTAAAGACAATATGAATGCTAATTTATTTGTAACTTTGTTTTTCCTTCTTTTATATTATACTACATTTATTAAACCAACTAGTAAGAATTCTTTAGAATCGATTTTTATTACTTTGATGAAATGAAACTTTTTAGTGATCCTCCTTGTTTGTATTGAAAAGAACAAAAGTTGTATCAGTTTTTCTGTTCACATGGTGGACAAAAATTTAAAAACCTAAGGGAGCTTTGGTAGCGTAGTTGTTATGAATCGGGCTGTGAACCTTAAGGTCAGGAGTCTGAAACTACCAGCTCTCCCCGGAGAAAGATGAGGCTTTCTGCTCCTGTAAAGATTTGCAGCCTTGGAAACCCTGTACAGGATCGCTATGAGTCACTTCCTACTCCATGGCACATAACCACCACCACCACCAAGGGAGTTCTGGTAGCGTAGTGGTTACGAATTGGGCTGCTAACCTCAAGGTCGGCAGGTTGAAACTACCAGTTGTTTCGCTGGAGAAAGATGAGGATTTCTGCTCCCGTAAAGATTTACAGCTTCGGAAACCCTGCACAGGGTCACTATGAGTCGAAACCGACTCCATGGTACTTAACAACAACAACAACAATATAATCATGAAAACACCTGGAGTCAACCATATACTGAAGACGGTCAGAAAACTATGCTCCCCCTTCTCTCTAGAAGGGTTCTCCATTCTATTTTACCTTTTTCTCTTTTCACAACTATATTCCATTTTTATACAATAGGATCTTATTCTTAGAATTAACAATTTGGACTCAATAAAATGCAATGAATGATATTAAATGCTATCTTATAGGGATAAATGAAACTAGTGAGTTTACTTCCATCATTTACAACATTTTTTTGAATATGCATTTTCTGAATCTAAGGAGTCTTGGTGGCACCGTAAAATAAGCACTGGATTGCTAACCACTAAGTCGTCAATGATTCTAACCCACCAGCTGCTCCTCCAAGAAAGATAAAGCTTTCTACTAGAATCTCAGAAATACTATACAAGGTCTCTATGAGTTGAAATGAACTCAATGGCAGTTAGCCACAACAGCAACATTCAACTAAAGCTATTTTTCATAGGTTTACAAATATCCTCTTGAAGATAAAGTCCATGAAGCACCCTTTTCTTCATTTTCCTGATCATATTATCCACAATTAATATTATTAATCACTTCTCTTTCCAGAAAAATTTTTCACCTTGGTTTCGATTGCTCTATACTTCTGGTGTATCCAATACTCAGGAACTCTGAAGTTATTTCTTTTTTGCAGTTCTCTCTCTCTCTCTCTCTCTTTTTTTTTTTTTTTAACCATTCCTCTCCATTCTCCTTTATTCTTGTGGGAAATATGTACTTTCATAGTTACAGCATTTTAATAGTTATATTTTCGTTGATAACGATGAGAATTTTAACAATCACACTTGATTTAACAAGTATGATTTCTTCCTCCCAATTTCTGGAATACTATTGCCTAATCTCCTTTTTTGAAATGATTCCTAGTTGCACTGTTGACTAGGCATTGGACACTCATGAAGATTTACAGTCTCAGGGTATAGGATTTTTATGAGTTAGAATTTACTTGATGGCAGTGGTTTATTTTTGTTTCATTTTGTTCTAATCTCTTTATTTGGACTTATTTTTAAGGAATTTTAAATATTTGATATTCTGAATTTTTTTTACAATGTTATCTGCTTGTTTTATCTTTTATCCACTAATTTCTGGACTCCTGGATAAGCATTGGACTGCTAACCTTAACGTCAGTGGTTCAAATGTATCTGTTACTCCTCAGAAACCCTGTACAGTGTCACTATGATGGAACCAATTCAACAGCATTTAACAACAACAATAGCATATTATTGGAAACTGTAGAGCCATTTGGTGGTACAAATATTTTGACATTCTACTGCTAACCGAAAAAGGGGCCCTGGCATCATAGAAGATTGTGAATTGAGCTGCTAACTTCAAGATCAGTAGTTCAAATCCACCAGACACTAAGCAGGAAAAAGATAAGGCTTTCTGCTCCTGTAAAGGTTTACAGCCTCAGAAACCCTATATAGGGTCGCTATGAGTTGGAACTGACTACGACACACAATACCACCCACCCCTCAACTAGACAAAAGGTTGGTGGTTAGATCCCACCTAAAATTGCCTGAGAAGATAGGTCTATAGATCTGCTTACAGAGGATTACAGCTTCAAAAACCCTATGGAGTAGGTTTTTTCTGCACAGATGGGGTTACCATGAGTCAGTATCCCCTTGATGGCAACTAATAGCAACAAAAATTTCTGGAAAACTCTCATGAATTGTTTCTCAATTGTAATTTCTCATCCAATCACCCATATGCTCCTAGTATGAGCTTTTGTGGTCTACCTTTCATGTGTCTTATCTTCCTTTTATAATTCCCAAATCTTTTTATTATCTGTTATCCATACATGGTGAGTTCTCCAATTTCTTCATCCCCTAATTTTTCTATTTCTCAATCATTAATTCTTCCTGCAGATGTGTTCAATTTCATATTTAACCCTTTAAAAGATACATTTCCTTAAAGAATGTATATATATTTTTTTGTAACTATCAAAATAGA